TTGGCCGATTGGATGATGACAGGCTTCCTCACCAGTCACTCCTGACTGGTGAGGAAGCCTGTCAATCATCCAATCGGCCAATCAGCGGGAGAAGAGGTCAGAATGTAGCAGATGACAGAGGAGGTCGCGGCAATCTTGCTTCATTGAAGACGCGATGGAGGTCCTGTGTGCGGCGGATTCGGGTCCCTGAAGATGGCGGACGCGACACAGGTACTCGTTTTATGTATCGGAGTATTTGCACGAGTATGCATGCAAATACTCGGTATCGCCGCCGATACCGATGCTTGTATCGGTGCATCCCTAGTATTTATATTCACACTCTTGAGTCCGTGCCAATCAATATTGTCAAAGAGATCAAACCATGAAAATCATTGTGGAAACTTTAGGTATCGGCTTTAATAGATTGTAGTAAATTTTGCTGTGGTGTTTAATGTCCTAATGCATTTTATCATTTTTCAGGCCCAAAGTTATGTACATCAATCAGCTCAGACATTGCTTCCTCATTGTCAGAAAAAATCGCAGATTCATTGGCTAGTGACAAAAGTGGAACCCCTTTAACATCTGTTCAGATCAATTTCATAAGAAGTATGATAGAGGAAACTCTTGAAGAATTACGGTAATTTGTTTTAATTGGGTTTTTAAAAAATCCTTGCTGTACTTCTTTTTTTTTTTTATTTAAATTGTATTAAAGTATAAAGTCTATTACAGACTTCCTTATGCAGGCTTTGGAACAAAACTAGCAAGGCTTAACGATTAGCAAGCCATTTAACTGTTTCCTGACCTTAGTACTCTGATATAATAAGATTCCGTCAAAGACATCAAGGCAGTCCAATAGGATGACGTAATGTTTACCGAACTTTACTTTTTGCTGGTGACATGTTACTATGAACACAGTAATGGGCCATCATGGAGCGATCTGCTTTTTGGGATGATCTCGGAAACCATTCCAATGCCATTCTTCACTGGCGTGTCCAGTCCCATTTTGGTATGTTTTAAAGCTTAGGGATGAAAATACTATTAGACATTTGTATCTGTTGCCATACCATTGTATGAAACTATTGAGATTTTTTTTTTGTTTTAGATTAATATTTCACTTAAGTATGTGTGGACTGTTAAGTGGTTTCTGACATGTATTGCTAGTTTAGTGAACATTAGGGGGTTCAGAATGTTACGTTGGTGGCCACATAATGGGTAAGTTATATAATGTAGACCAAAGAGAAGAAAGTGGACCAACCAGTCAGGTTTTAATTTTTCAGTCTGTTGGGGCTAACAAGTAATAGAAATCTGCTTCCTAAGAGGAAAGTTTCTATTTTTTTTGCTTCATTTTTCTTAATTGTTTCATAAATCAGCCCTAGTGTAATCTTGTGCACACGCATTATATAATACTCATTTTTTTATCTTTCTTTGTAACACCAGAAGATTCATATCCATTATTAACTGCAATGAAGTGAATAGGTCCTATTTGTTTCTGTGTGCTTTATTTTGTGCCTGGTGTTCCCTCTGGGGAATAAAGTAAGACCATAATAAGGTATTAAAGGAGGTTTATTAATTCTGTCTGGGTTTTGTATGTTCTATAATGCCTGCATGTTTGTTGAGCCATGCTTTGGAAAAACTCTTTGTAGTTGTAAACTGTTTAAAACTTTTGTTTCTGCAGCCAATACATTATTTTACTGACAACAACCCAGAAAGCCCTTTCATGATTTCGCACTATATTAAGGCAGTCTACCAGATGGGTTTATGTCTGAAATTTCTTTAGAGGAAAAGCAACTGACAGTGGCAGTCTGTGACCCTATCCAGCGTTATGAACCGTGATAGGACTCGGGGGGGACTGTTCTGAACAGATAGAATTCTAACCAGCTGTTGGATGTGAAATCTGTGAACCACGTTTGTAGATGTATAGATAGAAACCCTCCACAGACATACTCCTCAAAGTAAAATCAGTTGTCAATATTGCAACTCAAATTACGGGGCTAATGTGCCCAGGAGATTGAGCTTTTATTAAATCATTAACAACACAACATTCATTATCCGCTGCATGGAATAAAGCAAACATTTTGGCAACTTGATCAAACATCCATATATATTGATGTGAACAGCATTTATATAGTTATTATAGGAAACCTTAGCATCAAATGGTCAGAATTGTCAGCTAACACAAGCTGAAGAATTGTATAAAACGAACCTGTTGTACATTTTTAAGTCTGTGTCTGGTATAACTGAAAGGAATACACTCGGGCAGCTTTTTGTCAAATGGACCTGGTTTGCTCATACTGGGCAAGGGAACCTTTTCACTAAAGTTTCATACTCCTCGGCTGCATATATGTTTCCTTCTTTAACTCCCTTACTGCTCTGTTTGGCCAGGAGGAGTGAAGATGGAAAAACCCTGTATAACAGATAGAATGTGCACTGGAATTGTGTGATATTTTCAATTAAACTTGATTAAAAAGTATATCTTATACTCTCAAAACTACGTGGGAGAAGTATGTAAAACATACAAGCTATTGGTAGGTTAGAGTTGATCAATTCAAACAGATAACCAGAGCTCTCAAGAGTAGGGTGCACTCTCAAAACATGTAAGCCAAGAGTTTCCATTTGAGGTAGTGATTATGCGTTGCGGCTGGTTGCAACGGTTGGTTATCTAATGGATTGAGCGAGTCTCACCTTGGGAAGATTGTATGTTTTATGCACTTTTGCCAAGTACTTTTGTGACTATAAAACATACACCTTTTTATTAAAGTTTAAAGAGATCAAACTGCCTGAGCTCTTTCTGTTTTGTAGCGTTGTACAAAGAGAGGGCTGCAAGGCTGTAGATATCTTTTAGTCCGTATTTGTATGGAAATATTCAACAGAACTGTGGATAAAAGTGATCAATCTGCAGGACTGGTTTCAACTGCTTTCAACACTTAAGCACTGACAGTTTGCATGTATTTGTTTCCAGAGTTTATTTTCTCATTCACCTTGTGCTTCCATAGGGCTGATGACTCTCTCTCCACACCCAAGTGAGCAGCCAGTCACAATACCAGCATGGAAGGAAGGGGAGAGATTCACATGTCCCCCATAACTGAATCCATTGTGTATTTCTCTTTGTTCATTCTGGCCAAATTAAGAAGCTGAAAAGCAAAGGAAAGGGGAGTATGTACTTATTTGGAGAACTATTAAAGCGCACCTTTACCCCCTTTGACTAAAAATCACATCAGCATACAGCTCTGTGTGCTAATATGAAATCATCCTACATTCATTAGTTAAACATTTTTATTTTACTTGCAATTTCTTTTTTTCTACTTCTGGTCTACATTGGCACAACTTATGTAATCTGTGCCCAAACTTTTACACCCTGGGAAGGTTACATCCGCAAAGCATTGCTGGGAAATCTCATCTGTGATCTCACAAGATCTCAGGGAAAACCATTTTCCTCCCCTGAGATGATGTGCGTGGTCTCAATTATCTAGAAGTATGTGTTTTGTAATAGTCATTACTAAACATTTCTAAAGAGGCCTTTGTTGTTATTTTGTCCCACTGCAAAGGCTAAGTGCTTGTTTTTGTCTAGGTTCAAAAATAACAATTATACTAACCCGAAGCTCCCAGCCAGCCAGCTGTCACAATGCTCCCTTAGACCTGTCTCCTCCTACGCTGCAGCATTGGAATGTTTCTCAGCATCCTCACATCTATATACAGTGTATAGAACGTGAAGATTTAAGGGACCCTAGACTGCTGCAACGGAGGGGGAGAGAGGCTGCAAGGACTGGTCTAAGAACAAGACAACTGCATGGTTTAGGTGAGAATAACTAAAATATATATATATATTACCCTAGACAAAAATGAGCACTTAACCCTTGCAGTGTGGCAGTATCCCCAAAATGTTTTAGAGTTCTTTACATCTGTAAGGCAAACTCGTGAGATTTAGAATGTTCCAGGTAATCTCGGTACATTTTGATATACACAGGGTTCATCTTTCTACCAAGGTTTTTTCCTATTATTCCTTCTTAGTTTGTCGTTTACATTCCATGTAAAGGAACTCATCAAAGTCCTTTACTGCTCCAAAGCACATCTCACTTTGCTATCCTTTTGAGGAAGCTTTTCTTAAGCAGTGGTCTTCTCCGCCGTCCATGGTTGCACTGATTTCTAAACTCAAGAAGTAGACAGTTGTTCCGGACCCTCCGTCCTTCAGGGATCTGACTAAGAGCTTCCAGGACTATATTTACCGTCGCTGGAACCTTGCTTTGACCTGTTTTGGCGTCTGCCTTGGTTTCCCAGACATAAACAGAATGGGCTAAGCTTCTTCATGCTGGTCTGGTTAGTGAGAATGTCGCCCCAGCTTATGTGCAGCTGGCGGATCAACTTGTTAAGGGTCTCGATTATCTCTGCAAAGCTGCCTTGGATGCTGGCCCTCTGGTGTCTAAACTATCGGTATCAGCGGTGGCCATTAGTAGGCTTTTGTGGCTTAATTGTTGGTCAACGGATTAGGCTTCCAAGAAGGCACTTGCTGACCTGCCTTTTCAAGGGGATCGACTTTATGGAGCCACGTTAGATGAAGTGATCAAGGATCTTACAAGGGGCAAGAGCACTTTCTTGCCCGAAGCTTGCCCTTCCTTTTCTGTTCACAAGCAACTTTTTTAATTTGCAAGGGTCCTCTGACGAGTAGTAAATCCTCAAAACCTTTAGGTTCCCCTGCATCTATGCGCCTTTGGCACAAAAAAAACTGCAGAGTCCTTTGAAAGGCCTCCCTCTGCATGAAGGTTTGCTCCCACTTGCTTTTCTCCAGGTGGAGGGGTCGCCTTCTCAGTTTTTCTCCAGTGCTTGGCTTTCTCGCATCAGATCAGTGGGTCTGCAAGGCAATTGTGTCTGGCCACAAGACAGTTTCTGGCTGGTCCTCCGGACTGGTTTTTCGCATCCAACCTTCGGCTCTCTTCTCAGTGGCTTCAGGATTTTTGCAGTGTTGTTACGTAGTAGTACTTCTCCAAGGGGCTATTGTCCATGTTCCCCTCTCTAAAAGATTCAGGGGGGTTTGGGTCAAACCTTTTCACAGTTTCAAGAAAAATGGAGTTCATCCCATTCTGGACCTCAAATCTCTCAACTGGTTTGTGCAGGTTCAGAAATTCAGGATGGAGTCCATCCGCTCTGTGGTACCTTCTTTTGCATAGGGGGGACCTTTTTGGCATCCATTGATGTAAAGGATGCTTACCTTCATGTTCCGATATCCCGGAGTCATCCAAGGTTCTTGCGTTTTTACAGTGGGAGAGGAGTATTACCTGTTACCTGTCACTGCCTTTCGGACTTGTGTTGGCTCCGATACTGGCCTTAGTCAGACTTTGTGGGATCTCAGCACAACTCTTAACCTACATAAGTCTTCCTTGGTTCCTTTTTGTCGTTTGGAGTATCGGCCTGGATACAACACTTGCCGAGGTTTCTCTTCCTCTGGAGAAAATTCAAAAGCTCAGGTCCTATATTAGTCAGCTGCATCTTCGAAGGCAGGTTCCAGTTTACATTTTATATGTGAATTCTGAACCTGATAGTGGCCTTCTTCGAGGCTGTGCCATTTCCCCAACATGATAGTTAAATTCTTCAACACAAGATTCTCGAAGTGGGACAAGTCACCTTGGTCCCTAAACAAGCAGATCCGGGTGAGTGGGATGGCGAGTGCCTTGCAGTTATGGTGACTTTTGTCTCCTATGTTGCTTTCAGGGAAGTTCTTCCTTCCGCTTCGCTGGATGGTGTTGGCAACAAATGCAAGCTTCCTGTGGCATACGTCAACCTTCGGGGGTAGGGGGGCACCAGAAGCCGGGTTGCTGTTTTGGAGGTCTCCCATATTCTTCATTGGGTGGAGGAGCACATTCCAGTTCTTTCTGCAGTGTACATCCTAGGGGTGGACAACTGGCAGGCGGACTATCTCGGTCAGATTCTGGATCAAGGAGAATGGTCTCTTAATCCGGATATTTTTAGTAGTCTTTGCCTTTGGTCCCTGCAAGGTTCGGGCCGCTTCTTCATTGACTATTTCCAAGGGAATTAGTCAGACCATCTTACAGGCCTATTCTCTTTTAGGGTCTGCAATCTCCGTCCTCTGTTACTGCTCAGGTCAGTGAGCGCTTCCTGGGCATTTTCAGCATCAAACTTCTGTTTCTCAATCTTGTAAAGCATCCACCTAGTCTGCTGTTCATACTTTTACCAAGTTCTATAAAGTTGATGTTCTTGCATCTTCGGATGCTAGTTTTGGGCATAAGGTCTTACAGGCGGGGGTGTGTGATTTTTTTTT